TTAGACTCAAGATAATTTTTAACTTCTCCTTTGATTTCGTCATTGACCCAGGAGTTATTCATAATTATTTGTTTATCCTCCACATGTTTTATTTTATTCTGGTATTTTTTATCATTAATTTCTAGTTTTATGTTATTGCAATCAGATGCTAATCTCTATTTTCATGTATGTTTTGAGACATGTTTTGCATCTCAGATTGTGAGCTACCCTTGAGAATGTTCAGTGTTGATATGTGAAGAATGTGTATTAATTTATTTTGGGTTGAAAAGCTCTGTAAATGTGTATTAAGTCCATCAGGTCCAACACTTAAGGCCTTTATTTCCTTTTTATCTTTCTGGATGATTTATCCCTTTGTGTAAGTGATGTGTTGAGCTTCTCAATATTAATGTTTTGTCAATGTGTTGCTTTAGGTTTGTTAATAGTTGTTTTATATAATTTGGTACCCCTGTGGTAGGTGCATAAATATTAATAACAATTATATCTTCTTGATGAATTGTTCTCTTGATCATTATATATTTCCCATCTTTGTCCTTGATTACTTTTTCTAGTTGAATGTCTAATTTACCAGATAATGAGAATAGCAGTTCCTATTTTTCTCTCTGTGTTGTTGGCCTGAGGTACTTTGCTCCAGTCTTTCACTTTAAGTTTGTGTTTATCCTTAGATTTTAAATGAGTTTCTTGCAAGCATTGTGTAGATTGATTGTTACTTTGTCATTTTCTGCCTTTTATTTGGTGAGCTTGTGACTAAATGGCAAGGAAATCAAAAGCAAAAATAAACAAATGGAACTATAGCACACCAAATAGCTTCTGTATAGTGAAATAAACTATCATTAAAATAAAAAGAGACCCTACTAAATGGGAAAAATATTTGTATATCATACATCTAATAAGGGCCTAATATCCAAGATCTCAAATAACTCATACAACTCAACAAAAAGAAACCAAAGAATTCAATCAAAAAAGGGGCAGAAGCCACTTCATAGTTACCCTCCAAAAAAGTGCCATGGCACTTAAATAAATAGGCACATGAAAAAATGTTCAGTATTGCTTATCATCAAGGAAATACAAATCAAAACCACAATGGAATACTTCCTGACTCTTGTGAGAATGGCCCACGTCAAAAAGGCGAGAGGCAACAAATGTTGGTGAGGGTGTGTATGGAAAGGAACCCTATACACTGTTGATGGACTGTAGCTTGGTCCATCCCCAGTGGAAAGCAGTATGAAAGTTCCTCAAAATATTAAAAATATATCTACTATATGACCCAGCAGCTCCACTCCTAGGTATCCACTTGAAGAATACAAAATCAGGAAATCAAAGGCATAAAAGCATTTCTATGTTCATTGTAGCCTATTTACAATCGCTAAGTTATGGAAACAACCTAAGTGTCTAACAACAGAACAGTGAATTAAGATGATGTGATTTTACATATGTATACATATATACATGATTGATTACTGCTCAACTATAAAAGAGACATGAATTCTTGCCATTTGCAAAAACATATATGGAACTGGAGGGGATTATGGTAAATGAAATGTCAAAAGGAAAAAGACAATACAGGATGATTTTACTCATATGTGGAATATAGAGAAATAAAGCAAAGAAACTGATAAAACTAAACCAAAACAAACCCTAGAAATAGGACTTCAGAACTGAGGCTACTAGAAGGGGATGAGGGTGGAAATAAAGTGTTAAAGGAAACCCCATGGTCTATAGTAAAGGACTATGGGTACTTTGGTGATGGGTGTGGTGTAGTGACATATATCTGAGGAGGTGTGAACTTATTCCCTTAAGTCACTTATAGTGGTGTAAACAAATATTACCTCAAAACAAAATTGGTGAGTTTAGACCATTCATATCTATGGTGATTATTGAAGTATGAGGCTTATTTACTCTCATTCCTTCCTTTGCTTTTCAATTGTTTTATCTTTTTGTTGTTCTTTTTACCATTTCCTTCTCTTTGCCTTTTCATTTGGATGGCTTTCCCTGATTTTTCTGTCAGTTTCTTAATTATTTCTTTTATGTCTATTCTAGATTTTTGCTCTTTGGTTTTCATGAGGGTTATATCAAACTTACAATGTCTAAAAACGTTCTTTATGAACTGATATCTACTTGTTGTCATTAACTCTACAGGTTGTAACCTTTTATTTCTCCCCTTTAGTATTTCATTGTTGTCTCATATTATTCTTGTTTATACTTCTGTTTTCCTATTATCACTTTGTGCAAGCTTTTATGTTTTGTTTTTTTCTTTTCTTATAGAACTCCCTTCAACATTTTTTGTGGGGAAGGATTGGTGGTAGTAAACTCCACTTGGTTTTTGCTTGGGAAAGCCTTTATTGCATCTTCATCTTTGAATATTTTTGTTGGATAGTGTATCTGGCCAACAGTTTTTGTCTTTTAGGAATGTAAACTCTACATTTTATTCTCTATTAGTCTGGAGCATAACTATGATAAATCTGACAGGAGCCTTATCATAGTGCCTTTTATGTTATATTCTTTTATTCCTATCAGCCTTTAATATTTTTTCTTTAACTTTGACTTTTGATAATGTAACAATGGTGTGTGTTGGTGAAGGTTGTTCTTTCTGATTTATTTTATTTTTTTCCCTTTGTTTGAATAGTTTTCTGTATTATTTTGTTTGAATAATTCTTTTTACTCTTCTCTCTCTCCACTTTCTAGAATGCACATCCTTATATTTCCTCTACTAATTGAGTGTGATATTTCTTATATTTTTCATTTTCCCCCAAATCTTCTTTCTCTTCTTTCATTCAAGGGAGTTGACATTCGTGTCTTCTATTTCTGAAATTCTCCCTTCTACCAGGTTAATAATCATATTAAACATATATGTATAAATTTTTCTTTGCAGATCACTAATGGTTATCAGAATACTTACATACATGTAACTGGTATGGGTTGCCTGAAAAACACACATTGTGTAGACTGACATGATTCATCCTGGTAGAATTTATATGCAATAAATTATTTATATAAAAATCTAAGGCTTTTAGCCATGTTTTGGGCATATATCTATGTATCTTTATCAGTATACTACTGTATATCTATCACTGAAAAATACCACACACATTTAGAATCAGTTTTGTTTGTTAAGGAAGAATATAGCAAGTATGATTTCAGCAGCATTCCTCATGTACCACCTGGAGAGAATGATGACAACAGAGGTGAAAAAGAGCCAAGAAAGATCTGAAAGACAACCCAGGAAATTAATTTAGTTTTGCTATGCCATTGAGGGGATTCCAAAGTGTTTTCCTTCAAATTGTAAGATGGATTGCATGCCAACTTTTCATTCTCCTAGTTAAGACTTTGAAAACAAATAGGATACCATCTAGTATGCTTTTTTTGCATCATCTCATTTAAAAAATAGCAATAATGGCATTATAGTTGTATAAGAAACAGATCTTTTTAAAATGGAAAATTCCACTTAGGGAAATACAGTAGAAAACCTAACAAATGGTTCTTGAGACTCTGCATTTCTCCCCAGTTTTTGAAATCTAGAACCTGAGACCCACAGCTTAAAATCCTTTTAGATTTCTTGGGACCATCTGTTTTTTATGACGATCTGTTACCAAACACAGCTGGTTTTGTAGATTATTGTTTCAGAAAGTTTACTCAAGTCTACAATCCCATCTTCTGCAGTTGCTGTTAATATTTAGTTCTTGCCTGCTAAGTTTCTGATTCCCGGCACTTTGTTCTCCACGTGACACTCTTGTCTGAGTTTCTTTGCTTAATTTGGACATTCATAACAAAACATGGTAGTGGCAGTGCCATTATCTTTAAACTTTTTTCTTAGCCACCTGCTGATTGCAGTGTGCAAACAGTAGTTTGCACATTACTCAGTTATATACACCTCCCACCAAGAACTGGTTACTTTTTCACATATCACCTGATTTATTTCCCACAGTGCCTCTAAATTAACTACATGAAGATCCCTTAGGCATTCTAAACTCACTCCACTGTTCATTAATATAGAATTTTCTTTACCTGAATTATGGTGAACTATAGAAGAAACCTAAATATGTCCACTGCATCTTAAAAAGTTATAAAGATATTATATATTTGATGGTATTCAGTAAATGTGTACCTAACGATACAAGTAAATTGAATTTTTGTAAGCATAATAGAAATATAAATGCATTAGGAAAACTGACTATTCCTATAGACAGCATTTTCTTATAGGTGAGTGATAAACCATTAATTCATATTTTAGTCAGACTTTTTACTCTATCAGTGTCTTGAAAAAAATTATTTGCATGTGAGCCAGGTCCAGTCTCATTCCTTTCTGAGCTATAGCATGTTTCAAATGTGCTAACCTAGAAGGTAGAGAGGGATTAATAAAAGTAGTCTTAATAAAATTAAGAACATATGTTTCTCAGAGAGCTTACTGACTACCTACTTATTGAAAACACTCTCCAAGAAAATAATTTAATATTGAGAAATGTTTAATGAGAAAATACATCCTAACACTTTTTAACCTAACAGTTTATTTAAAGTCCATATGAATGCCCAAATGTTTACTTGAAATAGTTTCCTGATACCCTTCCTGATAGCATGTGAATTAAAAAAAAAAAAAAAACTGTTCCTCTTCAAAAAATGTCTTTTATTTATCCAGAGTATGTCTTTAGAAAATGATGGCTTGTCTTTTGGGTTAGTGTTTCTTTCTATAGTGTCAGTCCTTTATGGTCTTGTCATGGGTATTAAAATTATGGAACCAGGAGCTGATCTTGAAAGTTGACTTGTTAAATATGTAAATATTTTATGGTGGAGTATGTCCCTTAATCCTTTTTAACTTTGGTTTCTTAATCTGCAAAATGGGTAAAGTAATGTTTTTGTCATAGAGGTTATATGAGTTTTAATTCAGCTGAGAGTTTTTTGTGGTTTTACAGTAATAATCAGATATGGGCTATTATTTCTGACCTTCAAGTTATTTTGTTTGAAAATATGATCATAGTAATAATATTCATTTTCCTGATTCTTCCCAGGTTTTGAAAACCTTCCACAAATTCCTCTTTGGCGATTCATAGTTGCTGTTCCAAGAAAGCAGGGTAGGTTGTTTTGTTTTTAATGCTTTTTTTTTTTTAAGACTAGAAAATTGAAAGCTGAGGGTCAGCAGAGTTAACCAACTGATTCTAGCTCATATATTTAATAAATAGAAGACCCAGAGCTAAAAAGAGTTTCTCTAATCGCTAGTCTTTTCTAGCAGAGTAAAAAACTCAGGTACTCTAGTGTAAGGACAAAGCAGGTAACAGAAATGAGTAAATGAGTAATGTGTGAACCTATCACGAGTGGTAGGAACTTGGTGAACTAGGTGTGAAAAACTAGGATGTACATTGTCCTCTCTAGGCTTGATTAGATGATGGCAAAGGGGATTTCTGGTCTTGTTAGCTGAGGTCTGCTGTGTTTTTTTTTAGAAGGCAGAAATTTATATTTTTGAGTAAAAATATTGATATTTTTCTTCTGGAGGTATCAGAGGAGAATTTTCTTCATGTGGCTGAACCATACCCCTACCCAGAAACATCTAGTCTCTTATCACTGGATACGTCCACCTATTAAAAAATTAGGTTTTGTCATGAACCATTTTCAGATGCTATTTTAATATTTGAGTGGCTTTTGATGTTAGTATTTGTCTTAAATCTCCTATTTTTCAAATTTTGGATTATGTGATTGTTTCATAAATTTCTGTGATGATTGTAATGTTCACTTTGAGCTTACCAATTAATGACTCCTTAGGGGAGACCTCTTGCAACTAGAAGTTGTTTTCTAAACTAATAGGATGGACTGTTTCTTGACTTCACCAACCAAACTTGGGAGAAACATCTTTAAGGAAAAAAATAGTTACTCAAGTTTTTAGCTTTTGTATAAGAAACTACTTCTTTAAATATTAGACTGTTGGGATATGTTTAGATATGATTCCTTCAACTGTTCTAGTCTTATGATACCTAGAATCAGAACCTAGATTATGCCTGCCCATAAGCCTACTTCTTTAACCAGTTATTGGTTGTCTACCAAGAACAGTGCTTTCTGCCTCTGTGTAAAAGCCCTATTGTGTTTATTTCTCTTTGATTTTTATTATTTTTTTAAAAGATTTATTTATTTATTTATACTTTATTTATACAAGCACTGGGTACAGTCAGAAGCGCGGGAGGGTGAGAATTCACCAGAGTCAGAGCAGAGAGCAGAGCAGGCAGACTGATGAAGTTCACTGCTGAGGGGAGCAGTGGGCGGCAGGTGAGGTCTGCGCACCATGTGGGACCCTCACCCGGTGGCCTGGGATCGAACCAGCACTGCAGAGGCTGCGGGCAACTTCCCAAGACAGCGCTCAACCGCTGCGCCACTGGGGAGGCCCTCTCTTTGATTTTTAAAAATGAGAATTTGTCCTTGATTGTCCCAGAGTACTTTTGCTATGAAGCTGAATATTTGTGAACAGGGTATGTTTGTGTGTAGTTCCATGCATGGTGCCAATGTGACCTCAGTTACATTTTAACTTTTTAAAAACTATTAAGTTGGAGGATCTTGTCAGAAAAAATAAATATGTGCATAATTTCTTTACTAGACCAATGCTGGCGGCTTGTCCTTTTACCTGTACACAGGATGCATGTAAGGTAGCATTGCATTCATGATGTTTACTGGAGAAGGTGCATTATTCCAGAATTATAGTGGCAGATATCAAGATAGCTCCCAGGGTGTTAATGAACAAAGTGATTTGGGGAAATGAAAAATTGAATTTCTTTGTCTTTGCAGATTACATGTAATACAGTAATGCAATATTACATTATATCTAGTCCCTTTCTTAGGAAAGAACTTATAGTTTTCTACTTTCTGAGAAGAATTGTGACCTGTGATTTTATTAATAATGTTTTTGTTTTAGAATAATTATTAATAAAATTTTAAATTTTCTTTAAAGTTAAAAAATGTAATAAAAATTGACAATTTCTACAAAGAAGCAAAGAAATTACTAACAGGTAGTGCTAGCATTTTATTATCCACTGTTGCAAGCTCTGGCAGTCTCCCTGGTTATGAATCCATTTGATGCCGAGTGAAGGACATTGTGAAGTACTTGAGGGCAGGGTGTTATGCCATGATTGTTGTCATCTCTCTCAAGCCCAGCAAGGAGCCTGATAGTACACACTGTACTAGCACTGTTTGAAAGGACAAATAAAGAATGGCAAAAACAGACCAAAGGGTTTCCACAAAATGCATCTTGAGACCTGATTCAGCAACTTAGGTCAGTGTTGTGTCATCTGTTCTACTCCAAAAGACTGAGAAGGACATTACGAATATTGAGGCAGTTAATTTCTAATTGTTTTTCAAATGGAAATTTAGGGAGAAGTAAAATTAGGGTGAAGTTGTAATCTTTTCCTTGAATTACTGAAAAATATTAATCACACTTCTTACAAGCATTTGCCAAAATTTTAATTCAGTTACTTTTCAGTGATTTTGGTACCTGAATGCTTATAACTTTTAGGCATAGTGGTGTTTGAAAATCATAACTTTTTTCAAGGAAACCACAATTCAAATGATCTCATTTGTAAGTATGAATTAATGTAGTCTTAAAACATTTCAAGAGATCTCTATTTATTATAAAAGATGAAAAAATGCTACACGGCAATTTAGTTGATGTTGATTGTATGTATGTAGGTATGTAATCGTGGATGCAAGCACATAAATCTTAAATGTTTGGAAATACTTTACCTACTATATTGTGGAGACCAGGATTTTTTATGACCATGACCCCTTATTTTTCTTTAAATAATAAAACACAAGCTATGATACTTAAATTGAGTCCTCACAGCAACAACAAAGAAAAACTGCTGCTCAGAACAAAATCATAAATGTGGGTGACAAGCTCTTTGATTGTCTCTCTTTATTTGACTGGTTTCAATAGGTCAAGATCTAGTTTAATGTAATATATTATTTTCTTCTTAAAACCTATAGTCACTCCCATTTTAATTGAGAAGAATAAAAGAGAAGCACATACACAGAAACCTATCTAACAGGTTTACATCCAGATTTTGGATGACTTGTAAAGTAAAACAAAATAACTTACCTATAACCATCCCACCACACCTTGACTTTAAGTTCCGCTTCACAATTAAGTAACTTGCCAATTTTGGATTAGCAATAAACAGCAACTCAAGATCTGGAGGGCTTATAAGCAAGTCAGAAGTGGTGCTTAGAATGATTACATTCCTAAGCCCACAATTATCACAGCTCAGAACTAATTTTTATGCCTTAAATAAAACCAAAAGAATCTACACAGAGCACTTCATTTTCTGGGAAGGTTAAATTAAAATTAAAATGTTCATTGGAAAGTCATCCTCTTTAAAATGCATTTTCTAAGAACCACTTGCTTGATAAATGAGTAGCTTCTTTAATTTTTCAGATATAATTCTCTTTACTTCTTACAATAGATTATGTGAGGCCACTGTATTTTTTTTTGAAGTTTGAGATTTTTAAAAATTATTTTGCAAGTCAGTTCTTCAGAGTTCACAGATTATATACATTTACACAATAAGTTATTTACCCACATGAAATGGGTAAATAAAGTATAAAGTGCCTGAAATGGAAACAGACAGTATTCCAGAGAGACCTAAAGTAGGCAGTGAATAATAGCCAGAATAGCACCTTGGGCTATATGTCATCTCTCTGCTGCAGAATCCAAGTGCTTTTGCAGAGCTCTTTGAAACATTCTACATAACACCAAGTTAGGGTATAGAAGAAAGAGAAAGAGAACGCTGAGATAGCTGTAGCTGTGGCAGACAACTGTGTTCTTGCTACATGAAGAGCCAAGTGGAGGGAGAGGTAAATCTCCCTCTCCAACTTTGGCAGCTCAAATGTTTTGGGATTGCTGGTTGTTTCACTTGAGATCTCCACTAACTTCCATGTGATCAGACCTAAGAAGTTATCTGGTTGATCTTCTATGTGACATACATATTAAACTAATTTCTCATGGACTCTATGTTGAATAAGTGCCTTTCAAAATTCCTAATGTTTAAAAATCCGAATTTCTAGATTCTCTTTAAAAATTGGGAACTCTGGCAACATTGTTCCATTAATAATAATACTTCATAGAAGTAATAGACTGGAGCTGAACTGAACTATCTCTTTTAGATGGCAGATATGCTCTGCACTTGGCCAAACACATACCTCCAAACCTGGTTTCACTAATTTTCTTACCTGTTTCAATCCACAGTACTTCTGGTACTTCTAAGTTTTTAATTCCTTTCTGTGTTACCTTCCTGGGGTATTTCATCTACTTGTTTCTCTATTGGTCTGCTGGCTTAGATTCCCAATTCCTTAAAGAACATTTCTATCTCAGTGCTCTCCAGCTCCTGCTTCAACATATCCAATGCCAATATTTTTTTTCTTTCACTCTGTGCTCAATGAAATTTTAAGCTATAATCTGTAATTTTCTAAAAAGTGATTATTTGCTTTTCTCTTTTTTATAAATGATGACCCTGGGGCTAGGGGCAAAATTCAAATTTTAGATGGTTTGGTTTCAGCATTCATATTCAGTTTCACAGCTGTTTCAGGAGGATGAGAGATGATGCTTAGACTTTTTCTTTTATATCTTTTTGTACTATGTTTGGGAAAGTGTATACAAAATGAGATATAATATACTTGGTGATTGCATTGCTGTCTCTTTCCCTAAATTCTTTATACTTTAAGACATACCAGGCATGTCTGTATATACTGCTAGGATGATAATTCCCCATTTTCACAAGGAGAGAATCAGAGCTCTGATAGTAATTCAGAAAGGTGTAGATCAGTGCTGTCCAAATTAGATACAATATGAGTCACATATGTCATAGGGAAAAAATCATGTTAAAAAAGAAGGAAGTTGGACTAAATTTAATAACAGATTTTTTATGGGGACTACACCTGAGGGGGAAAGCAAACATTGTTTAAAAATGAACAATGAGGTGGCGCAGCGGTTGAACGCTGGGTTGCGAAGCTGCCTCCTGCCGGCTGCTCCCCGGCCACTGGAGGAGGGTCCCACATGGCGCGCAGACCTCTCCTGCCACCTGCTGCTCCCCTCAGCAGT